ATGGCTGGAGCTGGGATGATGCGAGGGTCCGGAACGTCAGGTTCGGTGGGTCTGGCTTTCGGTGCAGGTGGAGGCATGGCAATAGGTGGTGGTGCAGCTGTGGGTAATGGTGTTGGTGGAATGGGGTTTGGTGTAGGTCCATCGTGTTGGAGGCGTAGCTGACGTTGTTCTTGGGCTCGTTGAGAATCCATGATCAATTGTTGTTGAGCTTGAATAAGTCGAACCGATTCCGCAAGTTGCTGTGTAGTGGAGCCCAGCGCTGCAAGTTCAGGTGAAACGGATGAAGTCGGTGCTGCCGTAGGTGCCGGTGGTGTAGCAGGAGGAGAGGCTTTCGGAGCTGACCGACGTGGTTTGTCCGTTCTCTTGTCAGAGCGAAGCCTGGGAGCCGCCTTAACTGCTGGTGGTGGAGGTTCATCTGGAGGGACCATCGATGCGTCCGTCGGTAGTGGAGGTTGAATGTGGTGAGGTGGGTATGGAGAGCTCTGCAAAGGTGTCGGTGGTGTAGTCGATGTAGGTGGTGTAGTCGATGTAGGTGATGGAGCCGGAGGAGAATGCCAAGTGGGTGGAGCGGTGGGTGCTGTAGGAGTAGAAAAAGTCGGTGGAGCGGTGTGCACCAGAGTGGTTTCAGGAGCCATAGGTGTGGGCATAGTGGGTACAAGTTGTGGGCGTGGTACTGCATGAGGAGTCGAAGTCAATGAGGTGAATGGCAGCGATGTTGGGGCCGAGGCCGACGGCACGAGCGAAGCTGAGGAAGACCATGTAGGATGCAATGGCGAGGGATGTCCGAATAGATGTGCGTTCTGCGATGATTGCGGCCACGTCGAAGATGGAGTCGTAGGCTGCGGTGGAGCAGGCCATGACGTCGGAGGAGTGGTCCACGGGTACATCGCTCAAGAAAAATAATGAAAAATAATGAAAATTCACATACAGGACTCAGTTCCTAAACCTACTGTTCGTGCAATTGTGCCACAACAGGCCCGTGTTCCAGTCAGCCACGAGGGCATAAGACGGCTTTCAAGTTCCATCGAATTAGGTGCACAACATGTTTCACCTCACCAGACAACCAAAAGGAAAAAGACCACACCTGAAAGACGTGTGCCTGCCTGTTCACAGTGTCTTGACATGATTTCGTGTAGCTGCAAAGGTTGCTGCAAAAAACGGAGGTTTCTGGCAGTTCGGCATGGCTTCACTTGACAGAGTGCAAAACACTAGGATCCCTGGGACCACAGGAGCCGCGGGACGTCTTCAAAGGTGCAAAACCGCAAGGCCAACTGTTGCGATTTACTTAGATGAATTACCAGCTTCAAATGTGTTAATTCGGCAGTCAGGTTAGTCGTCACTCACCCTAAAAAGGGTTGCCTCAAATGGCTCCATGGCACCATGTCGGAGCCACCATGGAAATCACACTAGACAAGAATGGATCATTATATGATCCGGCAGGAACTGAATCCTGAAACATGCAAACCAGCCTAGACCATTAGATTTACAGTAGAGACCCTTGTAGTACTTCTCGAAAACGAGGTAGAGCATCCAATGTTGTCAAACGGAGTTTAAACCAGATTTCACAAAGATTGACCAGGATGTTGAAATTCCAAAAAAAAATAATAATAATGATTCGGCAGGAGATTCTCAAAATAATCACAGGAACATCGGCGACATGATCTCGGCGAAATAAGCGAAATACATCGGCGACATGGTTTCGGCGAAATAAGGCAAAAATTCAAAATACTGTCGGCGACATGATTTCGGCGAAAAACTGAGGAAGGTTCTGATGCATGTAAATGTCAAAATTGATTCCAGATTGCGTCAGCCGTGAAGTGAAAATACAGCCGTGCGGTTCTAGGCTTGGCCGCGTGCCATGTCAGTCAAAATTGAAATAGGAGGTACGTGACTCCAGCGTCCCAGAGTCATATCAGTCATGAATGCAGCCCCTCTTCGTTGGGCAATCAGCTGCAAACATGAGATTGCCCCCCTGCAAATGTGAAAAGATTAGAGCAATAGAAGTTTTACATCTGTTCAGATGTTACACACACACACATATATATAATATGATGTAATGTAATGTAATATAATATAATATAAAATGCATATGTATATATATATATGTATATATAATCATGTATATATATATATAAACATATGTATATACATATGTATATATAAACACACACACACATATATATATATATATACATAAACGTGCATATATAAACATATGTGTATATATATATATATATGTATATAAACATATATATATATGTATATATAAACACACACACATATATATATAAGGTGCCCCCGACCCCAAAAACCAACCAATTTAGCGAATTTGGCGGTATTTACATGTTTTTCACGCAGGTATTGCTTAAACTTCAAAACTTAGGGCATTTTTCGGGGGTCAAACAAATGCATTTTTTGGAAACTTGCTGCAATCCCACCCTTCCCATACTACATCGGATGCAAGCTTCAAGATCCAGAAAAACTTCTTGAATCCAAGGGGGCCGGATTCAAGATTCAAGATCCAGAAAAAGGAGGCTGGATCCAAGAAGTTTGTTCGCCTCGAATCTTGAATCTTGAATCCAAAGAGACTGGATCAACGAAGCTTGTTCTGAGGGTTGAATCTTGAATCCAGGTCCGTAGAGCACTGTCAGCCACCATAAATTGCAATTTCTTGAATGCCCAGCTGTTCTGCGAAGGACATGTCCTTTGAGATTTTGTGGTTTTGCAGCCTTTCAATACCATCATTCTATCTAAAAGCAAAAGCAATGTTTCTTTTTGTATTTTTAAAGATATTAAGACTAAAAAGCAAAAAACTGAGGTAACACCAACAAAAACAATGCATGAAGTCCAGGCCAAACATTCTCTGAACAGTTTTTTTGTTGTTTCGAGGTTTTGTTGTAATTCATATCCACATCCTTTAAGAGTAGCAGCAGAGGTTCAACAAGATATTGCATAATATTGCAGATTACTGCATATATCTTAATTAAATGGGCTGGTAAGCAAAGCACACACTTGCAAACATGCAGATCAAATCAGACACCGTGTCTACCCAGCCACCTCTCATGGACATCATCTAGGTGTGCATTTTTTGGTATTCTCATGGTTTGAGCACCCTCTCAGAAAATCACTTAAACCATGGGAAGAACTACAAGACAGACAAGAGTAGAATATAATAAGTACACAAGTTTCAGCATGGACTTTGAAGTTTGCTGTCAAAGCAAACCCTGCAATGTAGGCCTTGTGCAGCAGTATCTTTCAAAGAATATGACATTCCTTGCATGAAGCCGCAGCATTCCTTGCATAAAGTGACATCATTTTGTACAGTCCCCTTACATACAGGAGTGCAGCATGCCTTTGAAAGGAATATAGAGTTATTTTCAAAAAGAGTTACAGCTGTGCGGCTGTGCGAAGCTTTGTTGAAGAGGTAAAGGAAATTCTGGAAGGAGGACAACGCTGCGACAGAATGGAATCCTTTAAATAACCATTTTGACCGACTGTGGTAAAGAAAGTGTCGCTGCAAGTATGTGCAAAGCCTCCTTCACAAGGGAGCGGACCATTTGGTTGAAACCAGGCAATAATACGGAGAAACATTACTATGAAGTAGAACCCTTGGGTGTATGTAGAATTTTTTGATAGATGCAGGTCATGGTTGTATGTGTGCAATATGCCTTTTTTTCAGTGAAACGATTTGTTCCAAAATAGGCAACATTGTTTTGAAGAAAGAAACATGTCATGTGGAAACAATGAGAGGCAGGCCGAAGTTCATTGGATGCGATGCATCTGTCCACATAAAAAGTGCTTTTGTACAAGTTTTTACTGCATCTTATTTAAGGGAATACCTCGTCAGGACAAGGATTTTGAAGAACTTCAGTCTTTCCTTAAAGAATGATCATACAAGAAAAACGAGAAGGCTGAGCTCCATTAAATGTATTTCATCTTTCCACACTTATAGTTTTCTTGCAAGAACAGCGCTTTTCGTTTAAAGGACCATCTTGTCAAGGCATTTTCTTTTAACAATAAGCATTCTTTTTCAAGGAATGCTCCAGCATGCATCGACCATTGCACTTTTTCCACAGCACTACTTTTTTTGTTAATCACACACTGCATATTGTGTAGAAATAAAGGGTGTTTTGAAAGAAATACTGCATGATTGAACGCTGGCTGAACAATTTTCTGGGAAGCCTGCACTTCTTCAGAAAGGAACACTACATGTTTATAGGAATGCTTTATATATTGTAGGGATGCTGCTTCTTTAGATTAAAGGGCTCTACTACTCTACTGTTTTACTTTGTTCTTCACTTTTGTCTACTTTTTAAGCTTTTTGAGAGGGATCTCTCTCTCTCTCTCTATACATTGCGTGCATATGGTTATTTTGGTGGCGTGATTCCAATCTGAAAAGGTGGGCCTTGGGAGGGTGGTAGATTATGTATGTATGTATGCATAGGTCAAACCCAAATGGATAAACCTGCTTGATTTTCTTCGCCCTCCGAGAAAAAAAGGTGACGATTTGCCCAAGTAAAACGGTCGCCATGAAATAGCCCAAAGGACCCTCTGGAGCAAATGCACCAGAACCACCCAGAACCTATGGTTAAGGGATGTTAAAGGTAGACCAGGTAGACCTTGTTTTGGCTGTCGTTGAACTCCTCATTCGAAGGGTCTTCCAAAATTTGACACCCAATGACTCTTTAGGTGCTTCCAATGAACTACCCGCAGCACATTTGGATTTCGGGGCAACATGATGGTCCTGAACCAAGACACCATGGCGGCACTTGGGTGAGACACCCCTGCTGTCATTGCTAGCAGGAGACTCGAACAACAGTTCAACCTCTGGGAGTCCCGATGATGTGCTTGGCCCACCACGGGCCACAAAAGATGCTGGCCACTTGTGTCCATTTTGGAGGACGCCTTCGAGCCCCCTTAGTATTGAACATCCCCCCTTCGAAATTGAGTATTGGATCTGTTCATTTAAGGGGCCAGTTATGGGAGGTAAAATAATATGAGGGGGATGGATTAGTATCGATCAGGGACACCCCCAGCTCAACTCGATGCGGAGGATTCCACATCGTCTACCCGACTGAAAAGACCGTGCTGCGCGAACTCAGCGAAGACTTCTTGTTGCCCCAACTGCCTGAGTTTCTTCCTCAGTAGACATACGGATATGGGCTGCTTGATCCATCTTTCTCTACTTTTTGGCATCCCAAAATCTCGATGCTTTAGACCAAACAATGAGCCAAGATGAGCCAAGGGGGGGTGGGATGGGTTGGGTGTTTTCCATTTCCCATTGCGCACTACCAAGCCAGGTCTGAGTCATCAAAAGTGGCAGCGTGACTAGGCTCGAAACTGGAAAGTTGTGAAGGCATTGGCGAGAACTCCTAAGAGCCAAGCGCGAGGCATGCAACAGATGCAAACACATTCTTGGTTCAGGTGGTACAGGTATATATGGTCCCATCGTCTGTCTCAGTACCACACTCTCATACTCCCATGGCTACCCCCGCATCCCTCCCACAGAAAAAACACTACGAGCCTGCCCTTCCTCTGCCCTCCCCTTGCCCCTATCTTCCTGCCAACCCATCCCAAACAATGCCCGATACTAATCTAATCTTGCCCTGCTATACTTGTTGTACTTTCTATGCTGCTAATTAAGATACCTAGGTACCAATACTGCAATATCTCGCATAGTAGTACCTGCAAACTAGTCTAATGCATGCTGCATGCCCTGATGCAGCCTGTACATTGCTAATATCATACCTAAGAATATATACCAATAATATAACCTTTATAGTCTATAACCAAATATCTATGTCACGCACACAAATATAAATATATATATATATATACACACCTAATACATTACCCATTGCATGCCTACATTCAAGCTATATTTTGCTCATATCGTACCTATAGACCTGACACTACATACCTAATATTCAGCCTATAACACCTGATATATATACCTAATATACTACCTATTGAACTATTGCATGCTTATATACAACCTATATATTGCTTGTAGCGTACCTCTAACCTACTCGTGATTTTAGTTACCTGGTTACCTAGTATATACCTGATATAACAAAGTACATACCTAATACATCCTAATACCTATACACCTGTATGCAAACTGTATATTGTACATTAATTATTATACTATATGTTCAAGTTACATCTAATATCTATTGATTACCAACTTACATAAGCCCCCCCCCACCACAGCCACTACCACAGGGGGAAGGAAGGGTATCCCACGGGGTGGGGGGTTGCAGGGCCTACTGCATATATATGTATATATACATAGATATGATATGAAACGATATGGTAATGATATTGATTTTGATACGGTATGATTTATATATATGCATATTCATATTGCATATTAATGCATACTATCCCTCCAAAAGTTGGGGGACCGCCATGATTGACCCGGGTGCCATAGCCGAGATTCCATCCACTTCGTTCTGACAGGAGGTCCAGGAGTAAGGCCCCACCACCGGGTTGCAAATGGTGGTGGAGAACATCTTGCTGTCTATGGGATCCACCAACTTATTCCTGGCCGTTGGAATCCTCCATCAACAGTGCGACGACTCACATTTCCACCTTTGGCATCCCATGATAATAATGATATAATAATGATATCCCGTGCCTCTCCAACGCCACGAAGTTCCGAAACATGGCCACCCTATAGACGAGCGCCGGCGAGGGAATTCCTCGTCCATCCTCTGGCACAAAGCCAGGTGTGTGAATGGGATTGTAAACGAAGGAGGCCCACGCATGTCCGACATCTTCATGTATCCAAGAAGTCCAGAGAAAGATTGTTCTGAGCACCCGCGTCATGGTCTCCACATTCAGAGGCGGTAGCTTTTGGAGCAGCTGCTGCAATTCCTCTTGGCTCATGCTCGTTTCTCGCCACTTGGAGATTGGCTTGTCTCCTTCTAAATCTCGGTCGCTGTTGAAAGATCCCCCTTGCATCCCTGCTATGGTCAAAGCCGCTACCGCTGGTGACTCCGTAGCAACCGTGGCAACGGGCGTGGTGAAGGCCTGGGTGATCAGGAATGGTCAGCTGTTCTCCGCCTTTGAAAGGCAGGCTTCAAGATCCGCTGGTTTACGGCACACACACACGCACATTGTAAGAATGTTGTACATAAAGCTACCTACTGGAATTATCTGGAACTTGGAAAACTGATGAAAGCTGAAGACCTCCTGAAGCCACACATAGCTTGAACTGAGCTGGCTTCTGGTACCGGAGCGGGGGCTGCAAGCGGTGCACCCAACTGGAAAGCCGGGCTTGGAAGGGCCTGGACCATGGGACTTGGCGCGATACGAAATTGACCTGAAACAACCAATGAGGCGGAAAGTGATCTATTTAGTTTTTTTTTTAGAATCGATTTTAAGTAGATATAGGTAGATGATTTCCATGATTTCAAACCATGTCCATTTTTTGAATGAAACTATGAGACATTATGAGACCATTTCCGGGCTACATTGTTCGAAGAATGGTGAAGTGATCGTTGGACGCGATGGCAACAAATCAATACAAATCAATCAAACAGGCTCTTGTTGCAGCCACAAACGAAGCAACTCTGTGCTATGTAAGACATGTAGTGTCAACCCTGGATGAACAAATTCCGTTGGTCATTAGGAGGTTGGCCCAAAACTGCCAATTAATTACTATCAAGATATGTAATGCCCCTGTCAGTGACCGCTACCATCATAAATCCGGGCTTAACATGACCAACTATGAAACCATGCCGGCACCATCCGGCACCTGAGTGGAGACGCCAGGTGGTCGAAGACTCAGTCTCTGCAGCTGATGGGCTACTTTGCTCAAGTTTTTTCCAACCTCAGCGTGATGGAATTGGAAGTCAGGTTGACATGTTCTAGCCCCGACCAAGGGGCATCTAGAGATAAGGTTTTCAGATATGATTGTAAACTTGTTCTTGTCTTCTTGAATATCAGTATGTGGCGGTTGATCTAAATTCTTTCATCTGCAAACGGCCATTCTTCGCGAATAATTATAAAAGTTACTTCTGCGAATCATTGCGAATCGTATATCAATATTTTCTGATCCTAATATCCTGCATTTGTTTTTCAGATGCTACAAGGTTTTGTGAGATGAAAATGCGGGTCACGTGTTAATCTAAGACAATGTTTAGGTTGAATAGAGAATCTAGAGGCGCCAATTGCTAGGCTTTTTCACTGCTCCATTTCAAATGTGTTGGGGCGAAATACCTGCCAACATCTGCCAACATTGAAATCAGGCCCCAGATGCGTTCGCGGCTTGTGCCTCTTCCTGGATGGGAAAAAGATGCTCGCGTGTCTGATGGTGGGGCGAATAGTGGTGAAATGTGAGACAGTATCTACCGCCCCTAAAAGGAAGCTTTAGGAAGAAGGTTATCTCTACCATATTCATCCATATTCATCCATATTCTATGTCCCCAGAGACTGGAACATTTTCCGGCTCGCTTTAAAAATCCGGGCTTGAGCTGGGTTTGGGCCCCAGAATGCCAACTCAGGACATTCACCATCATAACCGGCTACGTTGGACCTATGTTGGGTGGCCGTGTTCGTCTCAAAGAGAATCTCTTTTTGTAACTTATATCACTATAATATCACTATAATAATACTATATAATACTATATATCACTAACACTTTGCTCGGTTTTAAACACGTTCGCTGCAACCCCTACGTTGCTCCGCGTCGTATAATAGTACATAGCACATATATCATATATTACATCACATATAAGTCAGAGGGGGTGGCAAATTTGGATCCCTTAGGAAGATAAGTTGATGTAATGATCCCTGTCAACGTAGTAGTCAGAGGGGGTGGCGGATTTTGATCCCTCAACAAGATAAGTTAATGTTCTTATTATCATCAACATATAAGTCAGAGGGGGTGGCAAATTTTGATCCCTTTATGAAGACAAGTTGATGTTATGATCCCTGTCAAGGTAGTAGTCAGAGGGGGTGGTGGATTTTGATCCCTCAACAAGATAAGTTAATGTTCTTATTATCACCAACAGATAAGTCAGAGGGGGTGGCAATTTTTGATCCCTTAGGAAGATAAGTTGATGTAATGATCCCTGTCAACGTAGTAGTCGGAGGGGGTGGCGGATTTTGATCCCTCAACAAGATAAGTTCATGTTCTTATTATCATCAACATATAAGTCAGAGGGGGTGGCAAATTTTGATCTCTTTATGAAGATAAGTTGAGGATATGGATTGGATCCTTTGGATCATTCCCCCATTCCCTATCAAGCACCATATAGATGATGATGAAGATGATGAAGATGATGAAGATGATGATGATGATGATGATGATTCTCTTGAGGTGTGGAGCAACGTCCGGGTTGGAGGGAACACGCTTTATGTGGTTTTGAAAACATCATGGAAACATCCGTATCTTATCTCAATATTGCTCCATAGCTGGTTCCATCAATTTCCATCATCCGTGCAACTCATTGGGCCTGCAGCTGGTTCATTCTTCCGCCTAATTTGTTGATGCCTGTGATGCTCGCTGTCACCTGGGACCACTATGGACCACTGGGATCAAACAGAGAACTGCCAGGAGAACTGCCTGGGGAATGATGGGAGATTCTTCCATCATTCTGGTGCAACAAACGGAGAACCGGTCACTAATGTCACTAATCACATCATCTGGAAATAATTTTTTTGCAACCGGTTCTCCATAATTCTCCAATGAAAGCCGATCTGACTCGACCTGTTGGAATGGCCTCCAACAAAACACGAGGCCCCCTGTTGACCGCCCCATCGCCCCAACAACAAAAAACACAACAACGCAACCATATCACGCGGTCACCGAAGTGTGGAATGATTTAAAGCATTTGAAGAAGACATGCTGAAACAGCTAAATATCTTACAAACTCGGCACAGCAAAACTGATTCTCCGCTTAGTCTTAGTCGAGTCGGCCCGAGGCACGTTGAAGCCAGCGGATTCATCCTGCGGGGGGCCGGCGATGATATCAACCGACCTAGGGCTACTGAAAACAAGCAATCCTGTGGCCTGCTGTCGCCTGTGACCTGTTTGATTCTTTTTTGCACTTTCCCCAGAACTTCTTTGGCCACGGCTACATCCGCTACATGCGACTAGGGTCAGGAGCACCACTTTTCCCCCACAAATTTTCCACTTCTCAGCTCATTGGAATTTGACTGAGCATTTCACAGGTGACTAGGGGTAATTCTTTTTCAGTGGCACCCCATGGCACCATTGATTCCATTGATTCAATTGCATGGCACTGGTCTGACTGGTCAAACTTGATTTAAATTGCATGGTCAAATGACCAAAATCTGTGGCACAGCCTGCAGGGCGTTCAAATGGCTGGCCAACTTGTCGATGCTGCCAGACACCTTGATCGGTGATGCCACACCGGCAGCAAGAATTCCCCAAGCTGTCCTGTGAATTCATGGGCACCTTACAAATATATAAAAATAAAACACCACAGGTAACCTCCGAATGGGGATAGGTCAAAATGATTTCAGATCCTGCAGGGCAAAGGCATCAACGGCATCAAAGCTCAACAAGGGGCTTTCAGCAGATGCTGAAAGCCCCAGGTTTCGCACAACTGAAATTCCCTGGAATACCCTGGGCATCCCCACATTGAACGACTTTGCCTTCACCTTGCAGATTTTTGGTGTCCAAACATGACAAATGCTTCACCCCTTTTCTGTGCGTTCTGTTGCGGGACAGGATGTAGAACCCCCTGTTGTATCTTGTTCTCTTATGGTCACAAACCTGAATTTGCACGTGATGGAAACCAGGCAAAACCTGCCCATGGATTACCCAAATGCCTGGAGCTTTTCCATCTTCTGGGCAAGAGATTTGAGGCTGTCCGAAGCCTGACTGCTGAAGAGCAAATCGCAATTGACATGTCGGGTTTGAAGGGAAAAGCGCATGTCTGTAGACGTTTTTCTCTACACATCTTCTTTGAACAATACTTGCAAGTATAACTAAAACCATCGAACACAACAACATCTATCGTTTTTCACACACTCCAGGACTTCGACGCTTTACATCAGTTTTTCATCAGTTTTCATCAGTTTTTCATCAGTTTTCAGACCTTTCCATTCCCTTCTCAGCTTCGGACATCAATGGCCTGCGAGGTGTCTTTTTGCAAGGCACCCACCGTCTGGGCCAGGCGATGGAGGCCTCCGGTCACCTGGAGAATTTTTCCCCAAACAGTGTACTGTTAGGGGTTCTTAATGCTTTCTAAGGTGTCCGCCTTGGTGTTGGATGGTGTGTCCGCCTTCCCGAGGGTCTTGTCTCCCCTTGTCTCCCACTGTCTCCCCACATGTGTGCCTGTATTGGATGGTGTGTCCGGGTCTTGTCTCCCCTTGTCTCCCCTTGTCTCCCACTGTCTCCCACTGTCTCCATGTGTGCTGTTGCCTTGTCTCCCACTGTCTACCCACATATGTGCCTGTATTGGATGTCCGCCTTCCCGCGGGTCTTGTCTCCCCTTATCTCCCCTTGTCTCCCCTCGTCTCCCCCTGTCTCCCACTGTCTCCCACTGTCTCCCCACATGTGTGCTGTTGGATGGTGTGTCCGCCTTCCCGAGGGTCTTGTCTCCCTTCTCTCCCCTTGTCTCCCGCTGTCTCCCACTGTCTCCCCACATGGGCGCGTGTGTTGGATGGTGTGTCCGCCTTCCCGAGGGTCTTGTCTCCCCTTGTCTCCCCTTGTCTCCCACTGTCTCCCCACATGTGTGCCTGTATTGGATGGTGTGTCCGCCTTCCCGAGGGTCTTGTCTCCCCTTGTATACCCTTGTATCCCCTTGTCTCCCACTGTCTCCGACTGTCCTCCCACATGTGTGCTGTTGCCTTGTCTCCCACTGTCTCTCCACATATGGGCCTGTATTGGATGGTGTGTCCGCCTTCCCGCGGGTCTTGTCTCCCCTTGTCTCCCCTTGTCTCCCACTGTCTCCCCACATGTGTGCCTGTATTGGATGGTGTGTCCGCCTTCCCGCGGGTCTTGTCTCCCCTTGTCTCCCCTTGTCTCCCACTGTCTCCGACTGTCTTCCCACATGTGTGCTGTTGCCTTGTCTCCCACTGTCTCCCCACATATGGGCCTGTATTGGATGGTGTGTCCGCCTTGCCGCGGGTCTTGTCTCCCCTTGTCTCCCCTTGTCTCCCCTTGTCTCCCCCTGTCTCCCACTGTCCCACTGTCTCTCCACATGTGTGCTGTTGGATGGTGTGTCCGCCTTCCCGAGGGTCTTGTCTCCCTTCTCTCCCCTTGTCTCCCGCTGTCTCCCCACATGTGCGCGTGTGTTGGATGGTGTGTCCGCCTTCCCGAGGGTCTTGTCTCCCCTTGTCTCCCCTTGTCTCCCACTGTCTCCCCACATGTGTGCCTGTATTGGATGGTGTGTCCGCCTTCCCGAGGGTCTTGTCTCCCCTTGTATACCCTTGTATCCCCTTGTCTGCCCTTGTCTCCCCTTGTCTCCCACTGTCTCCGCGCATATGTGCCTGTATTGGATGGTGTGTCCGCCTTCCCGCAGGTCTTGTCTCCCCTTGTCTCCCCTTGTCTCCCCACATGTGTGCCTGTATTGGATGGTGTGTCCGCCTTCCCGAGGGTCTTGTCTCCCCTTGTCTCCCCTTGACTCCCATTGTCTCCCACTGTCTCCCCACATATGTGCCTGTATTGGATGGTGTGTCCGCCTTGCCGCGCGTCTTGTCTCCCCTTGTCTCCCCTTGTCTCCTCTTGTCTCCCACTGTCCCCCCTTGTCTCCCACTGTCTCCCCACATGTGTGCCTGCATTGGATGGTGTGTCCGCCTTCCCGCAGGTCTTGTCTTCCCTTGTCTCCCCTTGTCTCCCCTTGTCTCCCGTTGTCTCCCCTGTCTCCCACTGTCTCCCACTGTCTCCCACTGTCTCCCACATGTGTGCCTGTGTTGGATGGTGTGTCCGCCTTCCCGAAGGTCTTGTCTCCCCTTGTCTCCCACTGTCTCCCCACATGTGCGCCTGTGTTGGATGGTGTGTCCGCCTTCCCGCGGGTCTTGTCTCCGCTTGTCTCCCACTGCCTCCCACTGTCTCCCCACATGTGTGCTGTTGGATGGTGTGTCCGCCTCCCACTGTCTCCCCACATGTGCCCCTGTGTTGTCCGCTTTCCCGAGGGTCTTGCCTCCCCTTGTCTCCCACTGTCTCCCACTGTCTCCCCACATGTGTGCCTGTATTGGATGGTGTGTCCGCCTTCCTGCGGGTCTTGTCTCCCCTTGTCTCCGACTGTCTTCCCGCATGTGTGCTGTTGCCTTGTCTCCCACTGTCTCCCCACATATGGGCCTGTACTCCTAGTTGTGGAAGTCAAAGCGTCCTAGGTGCCTAGGTGGGGGAGAAATTTCTGGAAGTCGGTGATGTTGCGTCCAGTTGGTGTTTAGCATGTTTGTGTTTTCTCCAATTGATGGTTTATCGTGAGTTTTTCATGGATACCATGCAGATGGTTGTAGCTATTCCCTTGTTTTGGGAGTTTTGTACATCACTGAATGGTGTCCTGTTGTCCTTGGACAGATAAGCAGGCGGTGATGATGTAGCTCAGCTCCCATTTGTGGCTCGCTCTGTTGTGCAAGATTTATACAAACACCGACGAATACTGGGTCGATGTTGTAACAAGTGCCAATGACAAGATCTTGTGCCAAATCGTGGTGTGCCTATGGGGAAAGGCCCGCATGGGCAGCGCCTATGACTTTAACTTACTGATGTGTTTTGTGGCACTTCGCATAGGCACGCGATGCTTACCTGTCATATCTTTTTGGGTTTACCCCACTATACTCCCAAAGATGAAAGTCGTGGCAATTGTTTACTTGTTTGCCAAGCTTGCGTCCCTTTGTCTCCCCTCTGTCTCCCTTACTCGCCCTTTGTCTCCTCTTCTCTCTCCTTGCTCTTGCTTGCAGCTGCTGCTTGGCTTGGTTTCCTCTTCTGCTCCACCGCTGAAAGCTCTTGAGTTTTACTGTTCTGAAAAGAATGCGAAAGCGTGTGGCTACCAAAGAGTTTGTCAGGAGACTTAGGGGGTCAGTCTCCCAAAATTCGATGACCTCGATTGGACCTCGTTTGCACCTGGTTCGGACCTCGTTAAAATTGCAGCCAGTCAAAACCCAGCCCGGAGAGGTTTTGGAAAGGCTTTGCAATGGTCTGCTGCTTGGTCTGCTGCTGCTGCTGTTGTTGTTGCTTGTGCTGCTGCTTCTGGGCAAGACGCGGTTTTTGGGCAGAGAAGCAAGAGATTTGTGAAAGGGCTGGAATCTTTTGCCTGCCTCAGAATTAGTCCACTTTGACCGTCGGTGTGCCAATAGGATTTCCACCTGGCGGAAGGTTATTGATGTCTGGCGTAAGCAGTGTGCCATGCGGCTGGCGCAAGTTCTGGTAAATGGCGTGGGATCACGCCGGGGCCCGTATCAATGTGCATGTGTGGAATTGTGTGGATAAGCGTCCACATGGTGTTTAACATCCGTGGGTATGTATGTTTTAAGATTGTGGGACATAACTGTGCATACGCGTCCTGATGGGGATTTGGAAAATTCGGCAATAGAAAAGTGCACTGCCAGGGATCTAAAAATAACACTTCTACATAGTGCGTCCCATGGTGTTTTACACCTGATTGCATTGACTTGTTTGACTTCCTGAATGCGCGGCGTCCCATGCAGTTTTTACCTTGGTTCCACATATGCATTGATTTTCACGTCCGGGTGTATTGGATGGTGTGTCCGCCTTCCCGCGGGTCTTGTCTCCCCTTGTCTCCCCCTGTCTCCCACTGTCTCCCACTGTCTCTCCACATGTGTGCTGTTGGATGGTGTGTCCGCCTTCCCGAGGGTCTTGTCTCCCTTCTCTCCCCTTGTCTCCCGCTGTCTCCCCACATGTGCGCGTGTGTTGGATGGTGTGTCCGCCTTCCCGAGGGTCTTGTCTCCCCTTGTCTCCCCTGTCTCCCACTGTCTCCCCACATGTGTGCCTGTATTGGATGGTGTGTCCGCCTTCCCGAGGGTCTTGTCTCCCCTTGTATACCCTTGTATCCCCTTGTCTGCCCTTGTCTCCCCTTGTCTCCCACTGTCTCCGCACATATGTGCCTGTATTGGATGGTGTGTCCGCCTTCCCGCAGGTCTTGTCTCCCCTTGTCTCCCCTTGTCTCCCCACATGTGTGCCTGTATTGGATGGTGTGTCCGCCTTCCCGAGGGTCTTGTCTCCCCTTGTCTCCCCTTGACTCCCATTGTCTCCCACTGTCTCCCCACATATGTGCCTGTATTGGATGGTGTGTCCGCCTTGCCGCGCGTCTTGTCTCCCCTTGTCTCCCCTTGTCTCCTCTTGTCTCCCACTGTCCCCCCTTGTCTCCCACTGTCTCCCCACATGTGTGCCTGCATTGGATGGTGTGTCCGCCTTCCCGCAGGTCTTGTCTTCCCTTGTCTCCCCTTGTCTCCCCTTGTCTCCCGTTGTCTCCCCTGTCTCCCACTGTCTCCCACTGTCTCCCACTGTCTCCCACATGTGTGCCTGTGTTGGATGGTGTGTCCGCCTTCCCGAAGGTCTTGTCTCCCCTTGTCTCCCACTGTCTCCCCACATGTGCGCCTGTGTTGGATGGTGTGTCCGCCTTCCCGCGGGTCTTGTCTCCGCTTGTCTCCCACTGCCTCCCACTGTCTCCCCACATGTGTGCTGTTGGATGGTGTGTCCGCCTCCCACTGTCTCCCCACATGTGCCCCTGTGTTGTCCGCTTTCCCGAGGGTCTTGCCTCCCCTTGTCTCCCCTGTCTCCCACTGTCTCCCCACATGTGTGCCTGTATTGGATGGTGTGTCCGCCTTCCTGCGGGTCTTGTCTCCCCTTGTCTCCGACTGTCTTCCCGCATGTGTGCTGTTGCCTTGTCTCCCACTGTCTCCCCACATATGGGCCTGTACTCCTAGTTGTGGAAGTCAAAGCGTCCTAGGTGCCTAGGTGGGGGAGAAATTTCTGGAAGTCGGTGATGTTGCGTCCAGTTGGTGTTTAGCATGTTTGTGTTTTCTCCAATTGATGGTTTATCGTGAGTTTTTCATGGATACCATGCAGATGGTTGTAGCTATTCCCTTGTTTTGGGAGTTTTGTACATCACTGAATGGTGTCCTGTTGTCCTTGGACAGATAAGCAGGCGGTGATGATGTAGCTCAGCTCCCATTTGTGGCTCGCTCTGTTGTGCAAGATTTATACAAACACCGACGAATACTG